TGATGCTGCTTGGCCTGCTGTGTTCATCCAGCCCTGCACCTTGTTGTCTCGGATTCTCCAGCATCTGCAATTCCTACTATCTCTGGCTATTGGAACATCTGGGCCATTAGTTTATAATACTTACCTGCATGCAATCACAGATATTCTTCACCAAATTATTAAAGCAGAATGATGGACAACAATGAAACATCAGTTTGTTTTCACATTTTTATTTAGTATTGCATGGACTTTCCAAAAATTGCATTGTGTTTCAAGATTCATTTGTAAACTGAGCCAAACACCTCTTGCATATCCTGCGGATCACCCTTTGTATACTAGTCATTACTTTCATGGCCAGACAGCATCAGAGGACAGGAAAGCTGATGTTTCGGGTCAAGACCCTTTTTCAGAAATAGGGCCCCATTTCTGAAGAAGGGTCCCTACCAGAAATGTCAGCTTTCCTGCTCCTCTGATGCTGTCTGGCCTGCTGTGTTCCTCCAACTCCACACTGTGTTATCTCTGGCTTCATCATCAGCAGTTCTTACTATCTTATTACTTTCATGTATGTGTACTTAAAAATAGGACAGGAATATCCTGCTGGATAATTCTGAGTACGTGAAGTATTACATTGACTATGGATTAAAATTTGTTAGTCAGGCTTGCAGTATGGTGCATTGGTGTGTACTGGAAGCTACAGAGTATAGGAATACATAGAACAGACAGAACAAACATGTAAATGTACTGTGCCTGTTTCATCTCATTCGGCAGTTCATTCTCAGGACAATGACTTATCTAATCAGAGTGAACTGATGTGCTTTAAAATTTAAACAAGGTCTGGCACCTAATTGCCAGTCATTATTAGCTGGTACATTTTCCACGGCAATACTTCTACTAATCAGTGTTCACTTGGTAAGCAATCAACACTCTCCTCTCTTACAGTACATATTTTCCTTCTGTCCCACCTGCAAAACAGTGATATTATGAATTACGCCAATGAATGTAAGATGAAAAGCTTCTGCAAAATGTGTACTTTTTAAGCAATACTTAAAGAAAAGGAAACTTTCACTACGCTAAGGGTGTGCTCATGATCTGATAACATTAAAGTACGACGGAAGAAGTATCAATTATTTCAAAAATACCATTAAAAGAGTACTAAAAACATCAAAGTATGACTGCAAAATTTCCTACCACAGACTGGTGATAATAAATAACATTATTTTGCATGAGCTTCATGATACAAAGCACTTTATAGGATCTGTAAGTGCCACAATATCTTTCACAGCTCTGGAAAAAGTAAAAGCTGAGTTCCTTCTTTATTCAAACACTACATCTTCAAACAAAAATACTCTTGATTGTCCTCTGTTTCCAAAATTGATCTGCCTCAATTTTACAATTTCAAACAATTGAATATATACTTTAAATATCAGATAAACTTATGAAACTTTATCTGGAACTTTTAAATGGTTAATCTTACTTTTCTACTTTCTGAAAAGACCATAATTAAATTTAACACTAGTGTTTTTTTTCCTTGGACACAAATTCATTACCATACATCATGTGGTTTGTTGGCCAGAATTTAAACCAGTCCAAGATCAACCTAAAGGAAATGTACTCCCTAATTGCAGAATGAATTGGTGATACTGCGTCTACTTCTCCTTGTCTGTGAGCAGCTTAATGTAAGAGGTAGGAAAATGGGGTTAGAATAACGCTTGAGTAGGGCAATTCAACATTAGACCAATTAATCACTTTAATTACAATTAAGTTTCCAGAAATGACTTGATATCAATTACAACATAAAAATACTTTGTTTCCCAGCAAACGTTATGACAGGTAAAGATCTCACATTGATCCTAACTGTAATTACCAGCATTGGCCTTGACTTTCTCATAAGGAAAAGAGATTTTGTGCATGTTCCTTAGTTTGCCTGTTTTAGTAGGAACATGACAACATAAAAAAAATTCATAGTGCTTCTATGTAACTCCTTCTATATGACGTAATGCAAGAACACCATTTAATGGTTTCTCTGGCTTTCCACAGGGTTTACTTCTTAAGTCAAATTTGTATATAAACAATTATATTTAGCTGTGTTGACATGTCTAAAGTATGACCTTCTTTATTGGACAATTGCAATTCAGGTCCTAGCATGAAACACACCAGTACCACCATAGCGGGTTTCAGTTAGTTGCATCCAACATGCAATCTTCCACCAGGAGTTGCTGGATGATAAGGAATCCTGGTTTCTATTGCTTTGATTACTTTTTTTTTCTTTGGTGATGTTAAGAATGATTTTGCACTGCTGTCATCAACTGAGACTACCTGGAATCTTTCCAATCTGTATGAAAGATTGCCATGATAACTCATAGATTTATAGTTGAACCACTGTGAATAGACGACAATGCATTGAATTTTAAATAAAAATGGAAACATATTTATAAATTGAATTCACATCTCATAAAATACAGGTAATGCAAAATCAACAAGTCTTCAAATTATGTAAATATCGACTCTGATCAAGGACAAGTTAGACTACACTGTACAGAGTACTGCAGGGATTTTGTCACCATATTACAGGAGGATGAGATTCTCCAGAGAAGGTATACAGAGATTTATAATGTGTTGCCAGAAATGAAGAATTTTAGTTATGTGGAAAGACTGAAAAGGTTAGAATTATTTTCTTTGAAACAGAGGAAGCTGGGGGAAGATGTGATAGAGATACAAAAATAGTAGTAGATAGACAGACCCTAGAATTCATAATTGGGAAGTCAAATACAGGAAGGGACAAAGATTTAAAATAATTGTTGGACAGAGAGGAAAAGTTTAAAAAGACCTTCTTTGAATCCAGAGGGTGGTGAAGATCTGGAACTCATTGTCTGAGAGGGTGATAGAGACTCTTACTGCATTTAAAAATATATAAAATACCACAAGCTACATAATTATGGATCAAGAAATAATAAGTGGAATTGGGCTAGATAACTCATTTTTAGACGGCTCAGGATGTAATGGGCTGGCTGTCCTCTGTCTGTGCCACAAATCTGCTATTTTTAAAATGTGTCAAGACTTGGGAGCCTGCGCATCCTCTTCAATGTTACTATCATTCAGAATGTGCTGGGTGAGGGGAGTTTCTGTTTGAAGAATTAAGCTCTTGGTTATCTTGATAAAAGATTACAAGGATTCATTCTTATTTGTTTGTCTTTTTGAGTCAAGCATATTACCTTCAATTCCACAACATTCTAAGGTCTTAAGAAACACTTTTCTTGAACGGAGTAGTTGCCGGAAAAAGTGAAAAGAAAACATATTGCAGTGGAGTCTGATTAAGATCTACTCGGATGTGACAAAAGTTAAAAATATTCAGTGTTATACTTTGTGGTGGTAGAAGTAGTGGTGGCAATTGAGTAGGAAGTTGGAGTTTCAGTACTGGGAGATGGAATATCTACTCCTTTTTATTACTCAGTATCAATTCAATATTAAGTAATTCCTGGTTTCAAAGCAGCATATTTCAAAGAAGGCAAAATTCCTTCAATTCTGTTCCAACAGCACCATCCTACTTTCCCCACTTGACTATGAAATCTCGCTATAATATGCCAAAATGGATGCCAATTTATAGTATATTGTGAGTTGTAAACCTATAGCCATGAAGGACTGGATTGAAACTTGCACAAATTCAGTTCAAATTAGAGATTCGTTAGCAGCAGAGAGTGAGAAAGTGGTGATATTTATTCTAAGTTGGGTTTTGAGCTAGGACCCATGCATGAAAAAATTTTCTATGTAAAAGCCACTGAAATCAAATCGTCCCAAAAGTCCCAGATCCTGATATTCTTGGGGCTGTAGTGGATCGAAGTTATCGTTAATGCCCAGGACAGAATTTGGGTCTGATCCTGATGCTGCCAGGATTCATGCAGATGTAGGCTGGGCCTTCAGTTCTGATGGGCTCTTTACATATCATGCATCTACTTTGTCTACATCAGGGATACTGCCATGAAAAAAATGCCAGTTCAGATGGATGAATTTTGAGGCCTTCTAAAGAATGTAAGCAAAGAAGTATTTATTACCGTTTCTCATTAGAAAGGGTCCTGTGTGAGTGGATAAGTTCAAAACCGATTCGGCCTTTTGCATGATACAGAATCCTGCTCTTTTAAAGAAAGATGATCTTAGTCTGGTCCAATTATGCAAATGACATTTTATATAAATTACTTTCCCAGGAATTTGAGACAGATTCCTTGTTTCAGGTGAGGAAAGGTGCTGACTGTAATTATCCACACTTATGCTGGCAAAATAATCATAAGAAATTTTCACACCCAAATCTATTAGTTCCAGACTGTCATCATTTCAATAACATCAAGGGTATATCAATGGCTTACTTGGCAAAACTGCAGTTGGTGTTACCAGGACTTCACTGGAATTAACTTTCATTTATATTTCATCCTAAATTCAAGAAGACCTTTGGCTCAATAGGCAGTGAAAACATTCAAAATGTATAAGAAAAACAGTTCAAAATTATGGCAAATATTCCATAAAGTCTGTGTAATAGCGAATTTTGCAAAGTAGAAGGGAAGTATTTATGGCTTGGGCAAGCCCAGTGCATGGAATATGCAATGCTACAGAACAATACAATGCAGTTTTTCTTTTACAGCAGCTGCTGGATCAATTCAATTTCAAGCTGGGAGCTTGCTTTCTTCATTCGGTTGCTAAATGGATGTTCCATCCGCAGACTCATCGCTCTCAGACAACAGAGGCCTTCGCTCCACTGGGAGATCAGTTTGTAACTTCATCCAACGACTGGGAGGCCAGATGATATGTGAAGCGCGGGCATGAACTAGTCCAAGGGAAACCTGTAAAATGTACAACATAATTTATGAATAGCAATGTTGTTGTCACATTTTCTTTTCCATTCACTTTTAGGAGGTAGTAAGGGAGAATGTCTCATGGTTATTTTCTATATCTCAAACCTGGCTTTTCTAATTCTTGTTGTTTGCATGCTTGAAACAGGAATCTCATCGAATGACAAGGATCCACATGGTAGACTAATTAGTAAAGTTAGATCACATGGGATTCAGGGTGCACTTGTCAATTGGATGCAAAATTGGCTTGACTTTAGGAGACAGAGGGTGATGATGATGGGTTACTTTTCGGACTGGAGGCCTGTGACCAGCTGTGTTCCACAGGGATCGGTCCACTTTTGTTTTTCATTTATATAAACAATTTAGATAACAATTTAGAAAGCATGGCTGGTAAGTTTGCAGATGACACCAAAGTTGGTGATACAATGGACAGTGAAGAAGGTTATCTAAGATTACAAAGAGATCTTGATCAATTGGGTTGATGGACTGAGGAGTGGCAGATGGAGTTTAATTTGGATAAATGTGAGATATTGCATTTTGGTAAAACAAGGGCAGGATTTATAAAAACCAATGGTAGGGCCCTGGGTAATGTTGTGGAAAAGGGAAACCTAGGGGTTCATGTACATAATTCTTTGAAATTTTCGTCACAAGAGTGGTTAAGAAGGCATTTTGCACGCTTGCCTTCATTGCTCAGACCTTTCAGTATGGGAGTTGTGATGTTATGTTGAGGTTGTACAGGGCATTGGTGAGGTATGTTCTGGAGTACTGTGTACTGTTCTGGTTGCCCTGTGAGAGGAAGGATGTTATTAAACTGGAGAGGGTTCAGAAAAGATTTACCAGGATGTTGCCAGGATGGAAGATTTGGGTTATAGTGACAGGCTGGAACTTCTTTCACTTTTTTAATTATAGAAGGTTGAGGAGTGACGTTATTGAGGTTTATAAAATCATGAGTGGCATAGATAAGGTGAATAGCAAGGGTCTTTTCCCTAAGGTGGAGGAGTTTAAAACTAGGGGCACATTTTCAGGCGAGAGGAGAAAAATTTAAAAAGGACATGAAGGAGGGGCAACTCTTCTACACAGAATGGTTTGTATGTGCAATGAACTGCCAGAGGAAGTGGTGGATGCAGGTACAGTTACAACATTTAAAAGACATTTGGATAAGTACACAAATAGGAAAGGTCTATGGAGGGATATGAGCCAAATGCAGGCAAGTGGACTAGTTTGGTTTGGGGACATGGTGTAGACTAATTGGACCGAAGTTCTATGTCCATGCTGTATGACTCTATGACTCTAATGGAAAACTGCATGTGTGAAACCATGAAACATCTGCTATGTTGACTCTCTTATTACAGTAAGTTTCAGTAAAAATCTTGTAGGATGTCTGTGGGCATGTGTGAGTTTAATGAATGGCCAGTGCCATTCACTTGATACTGAGGGCAAAATTCATCTTATTAACTTTACAGTCATATTGAATTATAATGCTGAATATTTAAAAGAAAATTTACAACAATTAATATTCAGTTTGAAAAGTAGTTTAATTGCACATAAGTCACATCTATTGCATTCAAAATAATTAATATCCATACATATCTAATTAAATTTCTCATCAGCTACTACTTAAATCAACCATAGCTCCAATGCAATAGCAATAAAAATCCTTGAAACATCAGAATAAGACTCTCAGCTTTGACAGAACTGACAGTCTAAATAACAAAGAAACTATATTTAAAATCTTTACATGGAGTAGCACCTTTGGTCTAATACTTGCTGTTATAAAGCCATAGAATCATCCAGCATGGAAACAGACCCTTTCGGTCCAACTAGTTCACACCAAATATAATCCCAAACTAAATTAGCCGCACCTGCCTGCTCCTGACCTATGTCCCTAAATTTGCCTTCTAAGGAAAGTGTATTAAGCATCATAAATGAAGCTGTCTGTCCTCTTAATTCAGGACCATAATGCTTTCCCAATGCAGGACGTCAGCTACTTTGAAGTGAAACTATGATCCATTTTCAGTATCAAACATCACTACCAAACAATCTTAATTTTGGAATTCTGCTAAAATTTACTCCATAGCAGATTTTGGTCATAAGCTATTTCACCGCTGGATTCATAATTTCCTTTTAACTTTCATTTATATGTCTGGAATTATATACCAAATTAACTGAAATGTATTATATATTTATGCTGATTGGAAGCTTGGTTAAGTCCAACCAAAGTCACTTTACTTAAGATCTTTACTGACACTTTAAGAAAATTTGTGTTCTATAAATCTGGCAGGACACGAGCTTAGAACTAAAAATCGATCAAGTAGCTAGGGAGGAGAGCGGTGGAATTTCACTGTTTCATTTCTGACACCACATTTTTCATTAAAATTAGTAAAGGCAGCAATGTCAGGCTCTGGTACTGAAGCACTCAATCTAAAATGTTATTAAAACTTCTTTTTGAATCCAAAAATACTGGTGCTATGTTGCTCATTAGTTATCAACCATGAAATCCTGACTAATATGAAAAATAGTAATGCATAGAAAGAATGTACTCTTTACAGGTACCCATAACTCTTAAATGATCTGAACTTATGCTAATTGAAAGCATCCACAAATAAGCTCAAAATGACAACATTTGAATCATTCCATTTTCAGTTTTAATTTATTGCTTGATGGTCCTGTTAATCTAGTTCAGTAATCATGTTCTACCAAGCAAATTTAGTTACTACTCTAATTAGTGTACAGCTGTGATTGTCTCAAAACCCTCACTCTTACTTCAGTGATTATTTCATAACAGATATCATTTTTACATAATTAGAAAGTTGTCACTCAGTATGCCTTCAATTGACACATCACAATGATTAATTCTTCCATGAGTTCATATGAATGAAGAGGCCTGACCCAGAATGCCTGATACCAAGCAGGAAGCAGAGACACAAAACAGCCATCTTCTTCAATGACATAGCAAAACTAATATACAAAAATAAACAGGTCTGGATATGTGGCTGCAATTATTTTGTAAATATCCATCTCATATCGGAATAATATGATGCATAAACACTAAACTGCACTCATAGTGCCAGCTCTACATCCATCCATATTGCAGGAAAATCAATCTCAAAGGAACTTGCACATTTGGACATAAGTGGACTAACAATCTTAATAAAAAATCCCAAGTTATTTTATGGCTCGTATGATTACAAATAGATGTGAGAAATTGCCCATGCATATGTTTCAGACTGCCTGGCTTAAGGATGAGTTTGGATCACAGTGGGATCTCACATCAAATACAACCCCTTTCAACATACATCTAAAACTGCTTTATATTGACATGAAAGTGCCAGTACAATTGCTGTTTTAACCTCATCTCATGGCTCAGATGTTGCTCATAAAATGAAGTTTCATACTTGCATTTTAGGATACCATCAAAAAAAACTCTTCTGGAAATTATTCACTCATAACTCATGGGTAACAATCATTCCCTTCAGAACTGATGAAATCCTCACTGATATAAAACAACAACAAAACAACTTATACTTTTCATTTTCATTGTTTAAGTACATTGTTTAAATTTAATTGGAAAGTTTATTCCAATAAAAACAGCTCTAACAGTTTTAGAATTCAAGTCTCTGATACAATTTGTCCAATGTAGACTCACAGAATGGTTACAGCACAGGAGACAATTCAGCCCACCATATCTGTACCATTTCTCTGCAAGATTAACTAAGCTAGTCTCACTCCTCTCACCTTTCCTTGTTACACTGCAAACATTTTATCTTTAGATTATTGTCTAATCTCTTTTAGACTCTGCCTTCACCACATTCTCAGGCAATGCATTACAGAACCCGACTCCCTCCCATCCATCCTAGGAACACAACAGAGTTCCCCTTGACTTCACTTTTCAGCCCACCAGCCTCCAGATTCAAAAAATCATCCTGTACCAGTTCTGCCACTTCCAGCACAATGCCACAACCAAATGCATCTTCACTTCCCATCCCTTCCTCTGTCAGCACTCTGCAGGCACCATTCTCTCTGAGATACACTTGTCCACTCCTCTATCACATCCCACAAAATTCAATTCAGTGCCATGGCACCTTTCCATGTAATCACAGGAGATGTAAAACTTTCCCTTTTACCTTCTTGCATCCCCCTCGCTGTTGAAAACCCCAACCACTCCCTTCAGTTGAAGCAATAAGCTACTTCTACTTCTTCCAATTCTGGCTACTGTATTAGTTGCTCAAAATGCAGTCCGCTCTACAACTGGAAGACAAATGCAGACAGAACCACCACTTTGAGGAACACCACCACCCAGTCTGCATACATAACCCCAAACTTTTGCTTGCATGCCATTCCAATAAACTATCTTGCTTCATGCTCACATTTCTGACCAAAACCAGTTCCACTTTTCGGAGTGAAGTCTGTTGCAAACTGGAGGAACCAGAACCACATTTTCCGATTAGGCATTTTGCAGCTTTCTACTCCACACTAAGTTCAAAAAAGTCATACCATGAACTCTGCACTCCATTTTAACTTTTTCCCCTTTCTAAAGTGCTAGTCTATCTTGGTTCTTGCTGTCATTCAGAGCTGACACATATTCTCCTATTCCTGGAGCAACCAGTACCACTCCCTTTGCCTTTTGTTTCATAGCACCTTTGATTTTAATCTTCTGCTTTCTAGCATTTCACTAACCTCCCCTTTTGTTTCACTTGCCCCTCTCCCCTTTTCAAAAGCATAAAAGCCATCACATATCTACCTCTCTTCAGTAGCAGAGAACTGAACATCAACTCTGTCTCACTCTCCAAAAATGCTGCCACAACCCTGCACAGTTTCTCTGGCACTTTCGGTTTTTATTTTAGATCTCCAGAATCTGCAGTATTTTATTTCCATTTCCTTTCTTTCCTTTCCTATCTTTCCTGAATACCATGAATTCAGGAATGTGTTAGGATTCAGGATATTTTGTTGACAAGCTTCAGATTCAAATGGAACATTTCATTATTCATTCA